GAGAGGCCGTGACAGAGCCCATCTATCCAGGCTCCAGGGCCGGACCAAAGCTCTGCTGAGAGGCTCACACACAGTACAAATGATTTAAAGGACACAGAAGTGACTTTATTCAAAACATTTATCATCATCTGTATCTAAAGGTAGAGCTACTACTGTACCGATACGGCGGTGTGTGTGTGTGTGTGTTAGACTCATGCTTGTTAAGAGCCCGAGTTTCAACGTGTGTAGGTGTGTTAACCCCGCGGTGTTTTTTTACAGTACGCTAGGAAAATGTGCTGCAGATCTGTAAATGGCTTCCTCGGCTAATCATTTCTCCTGCAGCAAGGGAAAAAAGGGAGAGAGATAAATGTTTGAGTGGAGAGGTTGAGGGCGTCTCTTTCAGACCTGCCCTCACTGTCTGTGAATAAAAGCCTGAAAAGGAGCCACAACGGCAGGCTAGAAGTGAGTCCGACCGGGCTTTGAAAACGCTGCCTCTTCTGTGGGCCTTGGTGCTAATGCATCTGACTCAAAGGCTTAAAGCCAGTGTCTGTGTGTGTCTGTGTGTGTGTGAGAGAGAGAGAGAGAGAGAGAGAGAGAGAGAGAGAGAGCTGGTGCTACAGAGGACAAAGAGCTCCAAGGTGTGCACTCGGTATTCAGTAATTGGTAAAAGAAGCTTCATTTCTTCGCTGATTTCCTGTCTTTACCATCTCTGACAATCCCCCTGCTTTTAATAGGGGGTTTCAGTAGAGACTATTCTGTTCCACCACCACCCCCCCTCCCCAAACACCAACCTGTCTGGCTGCTCAATGCTCAGCCTGACCACCCCTCCTGCCTCTTTCACTCCTCACAAAATGGGAAAAAAAGGAGGAGAAAAAAAAAGAAGCATTAACCATATTCTTTCTGTCATTCACTCTCTTTGAATACCTCAAACCCCTTTAGCTTTAATCATTTCTGGATCAGACTCCGTCCAAATAAGCCAAGCCATTTTCTGCACTCAATTACTCCCTTAACAGCATCAGAAAAGAGAAAGGATTCAGGTATAGTGAGGAGAGAAAAAGGGTGAGAGGGAGAAAATTGTGAAGCATCTTCATCTGCCGAAATGCTTTGAATGCTTCGATGGGATTTCTTTCTTTTTCTTTTTTTTTCCAAATGAAAAACCAGTAATAAGAGATAGTTCTGACTATAACAAAATGTTTACTGTCTGTTCGCGGGCTGTGAGCCTTTCACTCTCCACAGACAAATTGTTGAAGTGGCACAGGGAGAATAAAGGCTTAAAGAAATAGACCTCCGAATGATTACATTTCCACCCAATCCTTTCATTACCAAGGAAAATATATCAGCGGCTACTTCACTTGGAATTTAATAATACATTTCTCCTCTCATAACTTCTCTTAACCTTTAGATACAATGCATTTTGGATGGATTCAGCTGTCACGGCTCGGTGTTAGATAATGAGGCGCCCGACTCTTATTTACCGTTGTCTGTCTGAGCTACAGATTTCACAAGATAAAGTCAGCCTCAGATACAAATATACTGTCAGGGAAATGAATGGTGGGTGAGCTGAATACAGCATTTTTACCATTTCTTTTTTTATTTTTATTTTTTTCATGAAATGCACTCAGCCTGTGCATCTAAATACGTTGCTCTTTTCCCCTCAGTCCATAAGCCGGCAAAAATGCTGCCCTGTTTTTCCTCATCACCCAAATTGCCCACATTGTTCTAACCGTCGGCCAGTAGATACAAATCAAGTATGAAATGTGTGAACACTAACAGAGGTCAATAAAGCACGTCTACACTAATATAATGTGATTGATTTTTCTCTGCAGCACTTTCCATATACAGGATTCTGTTGTGTGCACATGGCCAATGATTACTGCAAAACTGCTCATAGTTAATCATAATGGCTTAGGTGAGCACTTTACTGTGGTGCTCCAGCCTTCTCATACACTGTGGTCATTTCCCCTCTTAGCCAGCTGACGGTCATTAGGGTCAACATGACACGCATGCATCCCAGAAAGCCATTTGCAGAGGCGAGAGCAGCAGCGGCGGTGTGAATGTCTCACCAAGAGCCTCTACCGCTGCTGTGGTTTTCACTTCATATTCTCTCTCATTATAGCGGCAGCCCTTCACCAGCTGCTGACGTTCAACACTGGATGT